TTATTGGTGGGTCGTGCTTGGTGCTTAATGATGAAGAAATTGGTTGTTAAACAACAAGTGTCTCCAAGTATGAGGTGTTCAAGCACAAGGTGTCTTCATGTTGCAAAATTGGACTTTTCCCTTATCATATATGGAGTCTTATGTGACCTAGAAGATATATATCAATCCTAAGAGTTAAAAAAAAAAAAAAAAAACCGTGATAGAGCTTTAGTGTTGAAGGAATTGGATATCAAAATGATAAGTCACAAGATGTTAAGCAGGAGGTGTCGTCTTCAGTTGCATTACAATTTTTGTACCTATCCTTGAAGGATTTGTATGGAACTTATGGATAATATGCTAAATATATGAAGCCCTAAGAGAGTTGTAGACGTGATTAATGCATAATGGTGAAGGAATTGATCATTACAAGGACAAATCAACACGTACTAAGCATGAGGTGTCCCTTTTAGTAGAAATTTGATTTCATCTCTATCCTTACAGGTATAAATCAAATGTCCTTAGCTTATTTTAATGTCTTTACAATCTATTTTACCTGCCCTAAGATCCCAGAATAGTTATGGAGCTAATTCCTTAATCGTTCATTCATTAGTTACCCGATTGACACCCGCTACTCGACCGATTTCAACAATTTGCACTTCAATGTTTATAACGTCATATAAACCTTATCTTATTGCATTGTGATCATATTATTTCATGCCTCATGTCCCAAATTTGTCAATCACTTATCTAGGTTAACCCTTGATCAATCGAATGGAAAACTTACAACTTTGTCGATACTAATTCACAATGATACACCGACACGAACATGTGTGTCTGACACGATACGTGTCGTATAAGTCAATACATGATTTTTCAAAAAAGTACTGACACGATACGTCGTCGACATATTGATTAAATTCTTTAAGAATTTTTATTTATATAGTATAAATTTAGTTTTATACTTGTTACTATTTTTTTTATTGAAATCTTTTAAATATCGATGTCTATTTATTATTTACCAATAACTTCTAGTGAAAAATACATAATATTTTTAATAAAGAATGAAAAAAGTTTGTAGTAGAGTGTTCTAATATAAAATGTTTATAGTAGTGTGTTTGAGTGTCGGCATTGACACGTGTCGAAGATGAACACGCTATCCTAATTGAAATGTCCGTGCTATATAACTAATTCCGACCTTTTCAATATTTTCATTGCTTAGCAAGTCAATTTCTAACTTTCAGATTAATCTATTTCTGTACCATAGCTCAATGTAAAATTTACCATTTAAGTCGATGAGTAAAAAACTCACACCATATCACGGTCTTAAAACCTCCATGATCAAATGCACCATTTTAAGAGAAAGCAATTAAAAAAATTAATGCAATTTGCAAATGACATTGTAAATAGCATGAAATACATGAATCATATTGGCCCAAAAATGTAATGTAAAATGGGAAAAATTCAAAAGTCTAGCGTTAACTTTGACACAATTCAATTTTCAAATGTCAAGTTTCAAAATACAAAACTCAAGTATTAGCTAATTAATTAAAAATATTTATTAATTAAATGTGAGGTCACAATTATACAATTAATTGTCACAATTTATTTACTAGTCACATATTATCAAATAAATTGATCATAGATTATTTTGAGGTCACAAATAAAAAAATTTGCAGGTTACAAATTATTTGGAAATCATAAATCAAAAATTTTATAGGTCAAAATTTATTTCATTGGTCACAAATAAAAAAATTTATATGTCAATTTAGTTATCTGCCACGCGTTTTATATAACGTGATTTTATACCGCAAGCGCACGGTGTCAAGTTTTGTAGTATATTAAAAAATTGAAAAGTGTCGAACCCACAGGGATTGATATTCGAGTTCCACTGAGTACTATAATTGTGTCCGCGTTTACTTTATCTAGACAATCGAGTGTTAAATTAATATTAGATTTCTAAATTAACGTCAATGAATTAAATAGTGCAATAAAAGTGAGGCAATTTCTAAAGATTAAATCAAATTTACGTAATATCTAGGGAATGATTTCACCATATTCTCGACATAATTCTCAATCCCTATAGATATTTTTATCAAATATTTCCCAAATTCATAGGCAAGAATCCTAAATTAATTCTATTTCCCCCTCTCGAGCGTCAAATAGAATATATCTCTATATTTTAACCCCAATATCTCTATTCCGAATTAAATATATAAAGATTATCACGTACTTGGTTCTTGTTTTACCCTCAAAGATTCGTACTTTCTCTCGAAATCTACAAACTTAGGTTATATTATTCTTAGATCACGCCTAAATTTCCCTCTCTCGAGCGTCAAATTTAGAACATCAATTCATTCAATTGGTGATCAGGCAAAAGAAAGCATTAAGCAAGAACAATAAAAATTCAATTCTGGAAAATTAAATAGAAATACTATAAAGAAATCGAATCATGTCTCAAATAGGTTACATCAAACCCTAGATTTAATAACTTAGTTCATGATTGAAAAGAAGAACATGATAAAACACAAATTAAATTTCATGAAGAAGAGAAAGATAAGAGAAAACTCAGGTTGTTGCTCTATTTCTCGATCTTGTGGCTTGATTCTCAGTTGTTTTCTTCTTCTTCTCCAAAATCGGTTCGATCTTCTCTCAATTAGTGTATATCATTGCCTCCTTTCTTCAGCCGTCCAACCCCTTTCTCTTATTTTTCAGTTGAGTATTTATATTTTCTAAGGGTCCTCAAGGGTTAGGGTCTGATTTTTGGGCCGAAAAAATACTTAAAAACCCGAATTTTAATGTTTTGAAAACGGGCGCCATGGCGCCTAGTTCTGGCGCCGTGGCGCCTAGTTCTCTGCCCCTTTTTTTCTTTCATGGGGGCCATGGCGCTGTGGCGCCCAGGTTTCTGCTTCTTTTTTCCTTCCTTAGGCGCCATGGCGTCCAAGTTTGGCGCCGTGGCGCCCAATGTTCTGCTAGAATTGCCTCTCTTTAGGGCGCCATGGCGCCAATGCCACTGCTTTAATCCTCTTTTCTTTGTTTTTCCAAACCTATTTCCTACGCCAATCTTATTCAATACTTGTTTATTCATGCTCCTTTTCATTGATCATCATTTTTGCTCATCACCGGCTCCCAATAGCGATATTTTCTTGAGAATTGTCCAAACTGCAAAACAACACTAACACACACATCAAAACGTTCAAAAATACTCAAGAACACATCAAAAAACTCGATTTAGAAGTTTAAGTTTAATGAGTGAATTACACTCATCATTATCGGTCACAAATTTTCAAATTTCTTGATCACACTATTTTTCAGTCACAAGTTATCAAATTTTAATGTCTCGATTTAATATTTGGTCGCAGTTAACCAAATAATTGGTCACATGCACCAAATATTAGGTCAAATAATACCACAACCACCAACACTACCCCCCAGTCACTTGTGACCACCCCAGCCTGCGATTGTCTCCAGCACCACAACACTACCACCACCACCAACCGCCACTATTGTTGTCAACACCTCCACTTGCACCACCACACAAAAACAACCGACAGATCCACCATCGTTGCCACTTCTACCTACACAACCAACAAAAGCCACTTAAACCCCCCCCCCCAACAACATTATAACCACCCCAAACCACCACCACAAGTGGCATCAACACCACCGCCACATCCCAAGCATATTTGACCAGCACCGAAACACTTCATCACCACTATGACGACATGAAATCGCCGAAAGCACATCTGACCAGCACTGCAAGCAAACATCGTGCCACAAATCGGACATAAAAACCACGACAAGCAGAAATCACACCGCAAGTAGACATTGCACCCCAAACCACTGCAAGCAGACATGAAAACCACTGCAAGTAGGTCACTGAACCGGCAAAAATGTCAGATCATCGCACCACAAACTGGACACTCTGATCTCTTCTTCATTATAGCTAGTGACAACGGCGCACAAACCGGCCATCAACGAGCCCACCATTACAGATGCGCACAACGCCAATGAACAACCACCATGGCAGTTCATAAACAACCCACCATCTATGCAGAGCGCACTTGAGAGTGTCTTCGTCGGCGGCGCTCTCGGACTGGGCTGTCGTTCATGTGGGGCAAAACCTTTGGTGGTGTTTTGTGATTGAGAGAAGGGAGAGTATATAGAGAGAGAAGGAAGAGGGTAGAGAGAGAAAAGATAGGGAAAAATGATCAGGGTTTGAAATAATTGGGTGTAGATATTTAATATTTAATTATTATATTCATTCCTGATTTATGAATAATGAAACTTTAACCTTGATATTTGAATTGTGATATTTAAATATTTGGTATTATGTAATTTCCTCATGTAAAATTCAGGGTATTACAATACGTTTGGCTATTTTTCATTTATTCATGGTAAAAAATACAAAACAGGTATAAGAATTTCTTATGTACATATGATTTTGGCCTTGTTTACTTTTATTAGAGTTGGGATTGTAGAAAAAATAAACTTTATTATTATTATTATTATTTATTTATTTATTTATTTCTCCTTTTTTTGATTTTACTTATTTTATTTATTTTTTATTGAAAAATATTAATTTACAATTTTGCCTTTTACAATTGTTTAGGAAGTGTTTGAACCCCATTATTTGTAAATAGTGTATTAAGGAATAGAAATAGATGAAGAATGAGTGGTAAAAAAAGAAAGGAAAATTTTTGATTTATATATAATATTATTTTAATAAACATTGTGTGGTTGAAAATGAGTACGGTAGGAAAAATAATATAATAGAATGATTGTCAAACAAAGCCTTAAAAATATGGTCAACGTCATTTTTACTGACAAACAAACTTTGACTGAAGCAATTATAAGGTTGGAGACTATTTGTACGACAAATGAAAGATTAGACGAATACAAGTTGCAACAAAGTGAAAGATTTAATACCATAACAGNAAGGTTGGAGACTATTTGTACGACAAATGAAAGATTAGACGAATACAAGTTGCAACAAAGTGAAAGATTTAATACCATAACAGCAATTTTCCATATATTATTAGCAACTTAAAAACAAATATTTCCAAGTTAGAAAAAACATAGAACTGCAATACCTTGAAATCGAATATCGAACACAGAGTTTTACAAACATAAAAAACGATGCACAACCAACCATCAGACCAAGTACCTATTGCTAACGTACAAACACACCATATACAAGATCAGAACACAAATAAATACCAAGCAACGGCTTTAAGATCACATCAAGTTTGTATTAGGCTGCTGAAGATGCGTTTCAAACTTGGGCATGCAGCACGTAACCTTCCCATGCTCAATGGAGATATCTAGAGGTAGAAGAACAGTCTTTCAGAAACAATTTTGACCAATAATGACAACTAGATATCCATAATCTGTATACTCCAATATTTATATCACCTTTGGGCAAAAGCGAACATCAAGTGTCTCCAGCATGGCACACTGTGATATGGCAGCTTCAACCGCTTCCTCATCTATGTTACAGGACTATACGCAAAAAGGGGGTTTGTTGGGGCAGGTGTGTGGTCGAGGATTAGAAGATAACATCAATCAAAGCAAAAGTGCATGTTTAATATGCAGTTTATTTTTTCTTCTCTAATGATGTCAAGTACACCTCACCAAACAACCTGCAATATCTCAATGCTGAAGAACGAAGATAATGGAATACACACATCTACCAAGAATCTCAGTCGTCAATTATTGTAAGGTTCAAAAAATTGCTTTCTCAAAATCGTATAAGGTGTTTTTCAATTGTCAATTTGAATTACAAGACACAAAATCTCCAGAATGAAATTTGCCATAGGGCTGCACTCAAGACTAGTGCCTCAATAGCAGTATTAACCAAAAAAATTATGTTCAAAATGGTGGCTTTATAAAGCGTGGGAGTGAACTGAAGGGTTTCCATTTAGATCCGAAATTCCAGCCTTTTTACTTGCTACAGTAAACCATATCAAATGTGTATGCTTCATATTTGACATAATTGTCATGCACAGATTCACTACGAAGTTATTTCATACAGAACATCACACATAACGTTCGAACAGACTCGTGTTATATGCCAAGACCCGGAATGGATTAGATTATATTATATGCCCTAATTACAAATTTCCATATGGAACGCCAGCCTGAAAAACTCCAAGAACAAACTCCATCGTCAATTGCTAAGCCCCAGATTTGATCATATAAATTGTACAGTGCACACCCTTATAACACCACAAATTTCAATAGCGGGGTTCAGGATGAAACCCATCTAACTTTAAAATTTTCAACCCTCCAGCCAATTGCAATAATCGTTACGTGACAAATAACTAGTTCACACTTTAAGCGGGGAGAAGGAAGCAATAAACAGAACTCCAAATAGAGAGAGAGAGAGTGAGTGAGTGACATCAATTAGCAAATGCATTTTGGCAGTAAGAAAATGGGTAATCAGGACAAAGAAAAAGAGAGGTAGTCTTAAAAGTGAGATCAGTTCATCAGGTTGCAGTCAAAACATAACAATTTTTCAAAACAAAATGTGCTTTAACAGAAACATTGTTTTTAATCGACCAGAAAAAGTACTAACCAGCTACAGGTCCAACAAACCCATTTGGTAAGCATTTCTGCAACTCGGTGACACCAGTCATCAGTTGCTCGAGGCAAATGTGCAGCCTTAGGGACAGCACTTGTTAAACTTTTAGCATCAAAAGACAGCACACTTTCCCAAATGGTGGAAAAAAGTGCAAGACATTAAAATTAATGAATCCAAATTCTTAATTCTGTAGCTGCCCATCAGAGGATGTTCAGAAACCATAAATACCCAAACTCAGCATATGNAAAAAAAAAAAGAGAAAAAAACTACTATTAGGAGACTGTTGAGTGGGAAAAGCACACCTGAAGAAAGAGGCTGGTCAATCTTGGACAGGCGAGCTTCAAAATTTCCAAGGAACAACAATTGCTGAAAATTTAAAACATAATGTGAGTTTTGATACACAAAAACAATGTCTTAGTATTAATAAGTAACACAAAATCAAGTTGGACAACACATATACCTCAAGTTAAGAAAGCATAAATTGCAACAAGAAACATCTACTTCCTTCAAATTTGTAGACAGTGAAAGGTTTAGTGATGATAATTTGACAAATCTCGCCATAGGAGGAATAACGACCTTCTTGATGTTCGGACAACCAACACAGTTGAGGTTCTGCAGTAAACGGTCTGAGTGTTCCGTTGGAAGGAAAACATCACCAAGAGAAGAAGGGTCAAATGACCAATAATATGTGAGCATCTCAGATGACATATCACTACGAAAGCCCCAGTTCAAGTCATGCATATTGACACAACCATTCAAGCTAACGTGAGTTAGATGTGTACAGCATGTGAGCAACTTCTCTATCGCTGATTGACAGAGCGTCCCGTAGGACAAGTCAAGTTCACATAAGGCTGGGAGAGCACCATCTTTGTAGAGAGGCTCCAGAGATGAGTCAGCAAGATACTTGCATGCTTGCAGTTTTAGAACCTAAAAACAAGTATGAATCAGCAAAATGGGAAAGGCATGTTTAGAAAACTTTGTGGTAACAACATAAGCTTGCCTCCAATCTATCATAAAGAAACCTAGACTAATCAAGTTGACTATATGATGAATGGGAAGCAATAAATAATTTCAGCAGCAAGATGCAAGCACTGATTACACACATTTTTGGCTGTGCCTGATTCCAAATTTATAAACAATAGTTGTTCATCTAAAAGAGGAAAGGATTCAATTAAAATGTATAAAATATTACCTTCAAATACAAACAGGAATCAAAGACAGGTTGCAGATTAACCAAAAAGGTGTAGGATAAATCAAGGTTGGTCAAATTTGAGAGGCAGCGCAAAGACAGGAGTCCATCAGGGCCAATAGAAGGGCATGACATTAATACTAATGACTCGATAAGGGGGCATGACGAAGTAGTTGCAGATAAGCAGTCATCCTTGAGTTTGCTGGACAAAGCATAGAGCAACACCAGTTAGACAATGTGGGGGTAAGAAGACTAGACAAAGTGTCCAGTTTAAAAATGACCAGAGAAAATGATAGGCCCACAAAAAAAGATAGGCGATAGATTACACCTGCAGAAGGATGCATCCAATGATGTCAGAAGTGGGCAGTTAATGGATGCCTCAGACAAGATGCCACATCCCTTAAGTTCAAGTGAAACCATTTGTGATGCTTCAATATGCAGTACATTCAATTTGGGGCAGATACCCAAATTCAGGGACTTCAGACCAACCTGCAATGCAGATATACATGATATGAAAGCCTGATAAGTCGAGTCAGTGTAAGACTGACGAACAATTTCAGAGATATGAAAAGAATTGCCTAAACAGGTTAGAGAAGCATCAACTAATATATAAAGCCCAGTCATCTATTTCTTTACAAGAAAATTGACATGGCATGCCAAAGCAGAGCAGTAGAAGAGCATGGGCTTCAACCCCGAGCATGGGCTTCAACCCCAATATGAAGATGATATGAGATGCTAAAAGCCTAAAAAGGTGTTAACATAATGGTGACCTACAGGATAAAAAGATGCTCTTTCAAGATGATCACAACCATCTAGTGAAACATGCTTGAGATAAGGACATCTGAGTTCAACAGAAGTAATTGCACGGCAACCACCAAATGAAAGGTTGACTAATGAAGTACTGCAGAAACTCACAGCTGTCAAACTCTGAGGACACAAAAATCACTATAATCAGATACAATAACAAGACACAAAAATCACTATAATCAGATACAATAACAATAATTAAATATAAACAACGCCAATGGAAAACAGACAAGCTAAAAACCAAAATTAACATTTATAGCTAACTGAAGATTTTAGCATTTTATAACAATGCCCAAGAGAGATTAAAATTAAGAGATTGCGAGAGTAGTACATCATAGTATAGCACATATACAAAACAAAAGAAAAACTACTTCATTTTTATAACTATTCCCAGATAATCCAATAAATGGTTATCCAGTATTTTGCATGAACTTTCAATATTAAGGATACGTTAAA